CAGAGAAAGAGAGGGAACAAAAACAGGGGGAGCGGCAGGCAGAGGGAGAAGCAGGCTTCCCGCGGAGCAGGGAGCCCGATGCGGGGCTCGATCCCAAGGCCCTGGGATCATGACCTGAGCCGAAGGCAGTTGCTTAAGCGACTGAGCCACCCAGGCATCCCATCAGTCTATAGTATTTTCTATAGCAGCCTGAATGGACTAAAACACCACCCTTAAAAAAAAAGATTCTTATTTAAAGAATAATTATTCAAGAATAATTATTCAAACAGTACCAAAGATTTTTCAGTGAAAACTAAGTCTTTTTTCCCACCCTAGCTTATGTCTATATATAGATATATATCTATATAGGTCTATATACCTACTATTCTACTTGTTTGTTTTTTTTTCAAGTAGTCTCCTCGTTGAGCTTGAACTCACAACCTTGAGATCAAGACCTGAGCTGAGACCAAGAGTCTGATGCTGAACGGCCTGAGCCACCCAGGCGCCCCTGCCTACTATTTTATTTGTAAACACAGCAGAACAGATTACACACTTGCTCAGTAACTTGCATTTTCCACTCAGTGATGTATCGTTCATATGAGAACACATCTGGCGCATTCTTTCTGATGGCTGCATAGTCTTCCACCCCAAGTCTCCATTGATGGATGGGCTTTTGTGAATACAAATGATGAAGCAGCAAATATCCTTGTGCACCTTACGTTAGGCACCTGGCCTCACACACATCTGTTGGAAACAATTGTGCTTCTTTTCCCAAGAGTTAGCAAAGTTTTGTTCTTCTGGTTTCTACCAGACTTCCCAGGCATGGCCCACACTGGCTGCTTCTCTTTCTCTCGACTCCTAAGTACTTACAATATGGCTTCTACCCACAAACATACTCAAGGCGCACCAGTGACCTCCTTCCTTAGTACATCACTTCTGACTTTTCTGTAGAATTTGACCTCACTGCCCATCCCGTCCTGAAACTCTCCTTGCTTGGCTGTTATGGTGGATGATCTTCATCTTCCCATTTCTCTAAGCGTGATTTTCCTGGGACTTTTGTCGGCCTTATTGTCTGGCAGGAGCTTGAGGGAGTGGAACCTGCTGGGTTAGCTCTTGGCCCACACCCATTTACCTCACTGCCTGGACCCCCAGAGGAATGGGAGGTTTTGATCAAAATCTGAATTCACACTCTCTTTTAGGCTCAAACCCTTCATTTAAAAAAAAAAGTGTTGTGGGCGCCTGGGTGGCTCAGTCGGTTGGGCGACTGCCTTCGGCTCAGGTCATGATCCTGGAGTCCTGGGATCGAGTTCCGCATTGGGCTCCCTGCTCAGCGGGGAGTCTGCTTCTCCCTCTGACCCTCCTCCCTCTCGTGCTCTCTGTCTCTCATTCTCTCTCGCAAATAAATAAATAAAATCTTAAAAAAAAAGTGTTGTTTTTAATTCCCACATTTTATGTTATTATCATCACTATCTTAATATTTATTATGTACCATTTAAAAAATATGAAAAGGTGTGGGGGCACCTGGGTGGCTTAGCTGGTTAAGCATCTGACAATTGATATTGGCTCAGGTCTCGATCTCAGGGTTATGAGTTCAAGCCCTGAGTTGGGCTCCACGCTGGGTGCGGGGCTTAAAAAAAAATACCAAAAGCTGTCAACAGTAACAAAGAATACAACAAAAGAATAACACAACAAATCCCAACATATCCACTATTCGGCTTAATAAAATGTGACCAACACAACTGGAGGTTCTTTTGTACCCTCCCTGCACCCCAGAGATTATACTGAATTTGGAGTTTGTAATTTTCTTGCATTTTAACTGAGTCCCGAATTTCTGACTGACCTCTCTGGATATCTCTATATGGGTATCCCACTTAGTATGGCTAAAAGCAAATGCAACTGATTCCATTTATGTAAAAAGGAAAATGCATTTGCCCTACCATCTATCTATCTATCTATCTATCTATCTATCTATCTATCTATCTATCTATCATCTATCTATCTATCTATCTATCTATCATCTATCTATCTATCATCTATCTATCTATCTATCTATCTATCTATCTATCTATCTATCATCTATCTATCTATCTATCTATCTATCTATCTATCTATCCTCAGAAATCCTTCCAGAAAGATCTATATCAGGGGTTGACCAAACAGAACACAAGCCTGTTTGCAACTTCTGTGAGACATCAAAACGTTAATTATTTCTGGATGCTTGGACTATGGATAGTTTTTCTATCTGCTCATTTGTGTTTTCTAAATTTTCAACAATGGAGCATGGATTACTTTACTACTAATGCCCCAAACTTATCTTCCCCTCAACCCTCTTACCAATTTAGCTTTTACCCCAGACATCTCTATTTCTTTTTTTTTTTTAAGATTTTATTTATTTATTTGACAGAGAGAGACAAAGTAAGAGAAGGAACACAAGCAGGGGGAGTGGGAGAGGGAGCAGCAGACTTCCCGCTGAGCAGGGAGCCCGATGCGGGGCTCGATCCCAGGACCCTGGGATCATAACCTGAGTCGGAGGCAGACGCTTAAAGACTGAGCCACCTAGGTGCCCCATAGACATCCCTATTTCTGTTGGAATTCTGCAATTCTTCACAGGTCCAAAACCTGGGAGGCATGCTTGATGCCCTTTTCCCTGTTTCACATTCCATCAGTTCTTACTACACCTTGTGGTTGAGTGGATTTCTATCTCCCCTGTTAGATTTTAAGTTCTTAAGGGGCACAGGCTTTGTCTCCCTGGGGGCACATCACACAGCACAGCTCAAAAACAGATGGTCCAGAAATGGTTATTGAACGTTTCTGCCTGATGCCTCAGGCATGTCTGTATACCTTGCAACAATCACCTGGCTTATTTATAGAAATTTCCTCTATAAATAAGTGGTTTCTGTTTCAGGTATGGTTTGCTCTTGATATTTACACTCCATCTCTGACCCTACCCCATCCTCAAACTTAGAAACTGGAATTAGAGCTGGTATTCAAATCCTTAACCACAGTACAATTGCCAGCCCCTCGTAAGAACTAAGACATAGTTGTGAAGTTCTTTTTTTCCCCTCGACATTCTGGGGAATTCTCAACGAGATTTTACTTGTCCTTCCATGCTGTTCTTTCTGGCGTTTCCTTGTTTCTTTTTGTGATCCCGTTCCAGATGGCTCAGAAGTGCATCCAAAATGAGTATTTTGACAGATTGCTTACTGCTTGCAAACCGTGTCACCTTCGATGTTCTAATACCCCTCCTCTACCTTGTCAGCATTATTGTGATGCAAGTAAGTAATACTGCTTGAACAATTAATTCATTGGTGTGACCTATTTTCTCTACATTGACTATTTATTCGAAGAATAGACATTACACGGAAGAGGGTGAGATCTCCTGAATCAAAAAGAGAAAGGAAATAAGGCAAGTATTTAAATGCCAACAGGAGCAAAGTAATTACTCAGAACTGAACTCAATTTTATTCAGTGCTGTTAGCAACATAGATTTTATCAACTCTTCTAATTAAGTGTTATTTAGAATTTACAAGTCAATGCTGATGAATTAAGGGAATTGGATGGCAAATAATCTTTACTTGATGTGGATATTATGTTGTCAGTTCATTATCTCTCTGATATTCTTTTAATTCAGTGAAAGGAACGAATACAATTCTCTGGACCTGTTTGGGCCTGAGCTTGATCGTTTCTTTGACAGTTTTCGTGTTGATGTTCTTGCTAAAGAAGATGAATTCAGAACCATCAAAGAACAAACGTAAAAACACAGGTTGGTTTGATGTTTAGTCTTGGAAATCTATTTCCAAGAAGTGGCTATTGTGAATTTCAGTTCCTTCTCATGCTCTTTTTTTTTTTTCCCCCCGTGATGAGTATTTCATTTGGTTAGAGCCCTTTTGAAAGTGTGTTAGAGGACAGTTGTGTTAAACGAACTTTTGGGAAGGAGCAAGCTGCCTTCTTTTTGGTTCGCGGGTGCCCCACAGAGCCTTACTTCCCCCACATTCTTCCCTCAGTAATTACTCTTCTGAAGTCCGGAGGCTTCCTTGGCAAACATCCATCTCTTTGACCAAAGTTAGCACATTGATTAAATGTCTTACTCTCAGAAACTACTAGCTGGGTCTGCTACTATCAGGAAAAAAGTATTTGACAAGATCCATGGCCATATTCTTAAGACAAATGTAAATGCTGTTTGCTTGGGTGAATATTTTACTGCCAAAAAAACTGCTAGAAATTAATAACCAGCTGTTCTTGGAGTATTTGAGCAGTCATTTTAAAGATTATTATCTTTATTAAGCAGCAGAGAACCAGTCTCAGAGAAGTGAATGTTCTACTTAAAGGCTTTTTAAGATAAAAATATTTCTGCTGCACCTTTGCCCATGATCTGATTCCCAAACACATTGCAGCCATTGACCTATTTCTTGATGCATTTATTTTCCGTGCAGAATCTGCATTAAGCACCCAGCTCATTTGTAGTAAAGAGAGGTAGATGGCTGTTGCCCATAATTTACTCACTTTTCTTTTTTTCTTGTGCCTAGGGTCTGAGAGACAGGTGGGGAGTGACTTTAAGTGTGACATTCTGGAAGATGGAGTTATTCTGTGGCAGGTTGGGGAAGTAATAAAGCTTACCTTCACCAGCATATAAATGGGGACATAATAGAGACTCCTTCCTTACATGATCACAAAAGATTCATTATAAAGGAAAAATTTGATTTGCTACCAAATGCTCTGTAAAGGAAGCATCTTTGCTTTGAATTCTAAAGTGTCACCCAAAGGCTCATTTTGGTGTGCTGTAACATATGGTAATCTGTCATTTCACCGGTGTCTAATAGAATCAATACCTCAATGCCTCCAAGGACCAAGTGGGCAACCAGTGAATGCAATGGGCGAGGTGGAGGTTTCAACAGTAGAGAGCCTATGCCCTTCCTCAAGGAGACAGGTGCTCCTGACTCCAGCCAACTGTTCCCATGTAGGAATGTTAGCTACCAGTTACCCCCGCCCCCCTTTTTTTAAAGAGACCAATTGCCTCGATTTGCAGGTGAAATCCCTTGAAATTTGTTTGTTTTTTTAAATCTCTTGATTTTTAAAGGGGGGGTCAACATAAAACATGTAAGCAAACACTTAAAAACACTGTATGGGCCTAAACAAAGTCTATCTTCAAATCCAATGTGGCCTGCGGTCTATCAGTTCGTGACTTCTAGCGCAGGAACATACTCATTTGTTTTGTAGGAGATCTGTCTCCATGGCTTGGAGCCCTAATGTGTACTGCTAAGACTGTCAGGACTGCACCACCTGGGAAGTTGGGGTTAATGGTTGTGTTTCTGCATAATCAGGATCGACTCTCCAGGACCAGGTGAACGCTGACCAGGAGGAGGGCCGTGCTAGCAGGAATGGTGAGGAAGTTCTCTCGAGGGGCCTGGAGTACACAGTAGAAGAATGTACCTGTGAAGACTGCGTCAATTCTGAATCAAAGGTTGCTTCTGACCATTTCTTTCCACTCCCGGCTATGGAGGAAGGTGCAACCATTCTCGTCACCACGAAAACAAATGACTACTGTAACAGCCTGCTAGCTAGTGTCACAGAGATGGAGAAACCCATTTTTACCAGATAATCAACCATTTCAAGTGGTGCAGAGCTGCTTTGAAAATCCTATGTCAGAAGGATGATGTATCACATCTCTTTAGGATGATTGTACTTATCAGTTGCTGATAGAGCTTTTTGTCCTGTAATTCTAGAAAATCTTTATGTTAGATGTACTTCCCTACCTTACTGTTGGGAACTTAACTGGAAATTTCCTTGGTTTCATGATTAAATTCTTGACTCACTGAAAAAGAAGCACTGCAATGTGTAGAGCCCATAGTCCCATATTTCTATGGCTAGCTCCCTTCTCTCCTATACACACACATATATATATTTCAAGCCAGATTGGATTTTTCTCTTTATTATTAATGGAAAGCAAGGTGATCCTATGTACTCCTGGATATAGGAGAAGCCTAGAGTCAGCCACACTAATTTAGTGTGCAATGCATGAGTGCAAGGCTCCTGACCTTGTGGGCTTTCAGCTTAATGGAGACATCAGGCATTATTACAATCCCATAAATAAATGTGTAATTGCAAACTAGGACAAAGGTATAGTAGGTATCATTTTCAGACCCCAGTGCAGGTAGTAATAATGATGGCTAAAACTTAGCCTTACTAGGGGCGCTTGTGTGGCTCAGTCAGTTAAGCGTCTGGCTCTTGATTTCAGCTCAGGTTATGATCTCATGGGTCTTGGGATCAAGCCCCATGACTCAGGCTCTGTGCTCAGCAGGGAGTCTACTTTAGATTCTCCATCTCTCTTTCTCCCTCTGCCCCTCTCCCTGCTCACACTTTCTCTTATTCTCTAGTAAATAAATAAATCTTAAAACAACAACAACAAAAACTTAGCCTTACTAATGTGCCAGGACTGTTCTATATGCTTTACCTGTACTAACTCATTTAATGCATACAACAAATCACAAGGTAGGTGGACAATTATTACCTCCATTTTACAGATGATGGCAGAAACTGAGTCAGAGGAAGGTAACATAACCAGTAAATGGCAGAGCCAGGATTTAAACCCAGACATCCTGATTTATTTATTTTTTTCTCTTCATAACGATTTAAGTTCATTTGAGTTCCTCAGCTCTTTGGGCTACAATCTTAAGTCATTATTGGGGGAGGGGGGTCCCTCCCTGGGGTTGTGCAAAGGTCCTGAGGTGTTATGGGAAGGTTATGCAACAGGTGATGATGCCCTCTGATAATATGTTGACTTTGATCATTGTTAAGATGCCCACTGACAAAACAGCGTAGACCTCAAAGTCTTGGGGCTGTGGCTTTTGTGTCTGGTTTGGGAAAAGGGGAAACTTGGTGAGCCCTTTTTACCCATTGGGGGCCATTCCAAGTTTCCATTCCAGGCCCTTGAGGACCACAGGATACAATATAGTACAGTGGTTAAAGTACTGGCTCTTGAAGCCAGATTGCCTGGACTTGAATTCTGGCTCTGTTACTAGAAGTTACAGACTTTGGGTGACTGTGAAAGTTACTTAACCACTTGTGCCTCAGTTTCCCCATCTGTAAAATGGAAATAATAATAGTATCTACTTACAAGGTTGTTTTAAGGATTAAATGAAAACACACACACACTCATTTGCATACATACATGTACATGTATATATATATAAATTTTTTCATGAAAGTATCTGGTTTATAATAAATACTTTGAGTTACATTGTTGTAATGATTTTTATTAATCCGCTTGAATTGTAGTCTGAGAGCAGGCACACACTCCTTTCCTGTTCTACAGCTGTTACAGGAATAGTATATGGAATACTGCTCCTAGCTTCTCACAGGCCCTCTTCCTCCCCAACCCCCCCACAATCTCCTCAATGAGTTTAGTTTTTCAAGGCTGACAAGAGCTGTAGACTTTAGGCTCTTAATTCTTGGTCTTTGAGGACTAGGTGAAAATCTCAGAAAAAAGGAATTATAATGTTTCAAGGGGGTGGTTGGGGATAGAATAAGTAAAGCACAAGCTCTGATGTCACTCACTTATCCTGCCTCAAGTGCCATGAAGGAAAGGTACAGGGCGCTATGAGAAGGTAGAACGTATCATCATGGTGACAACTCCATTAAGCAGGTATGTGATGCCTTACCAAGGGTTACAGAGGCAGGAGGAACCAAACTAGGCTTTTGGGGGTGGAGGAGTTGAGGGGGTGGATTTAGGCACATAGACTCTTCAAAATTACAAATTCACCACAACTATAGAGTATAATTTTGGAAAATGGCAAAGACAGCCCCACCAACCAAACACACAAGTATTTTCATCTCTCCATTCTCTCAGTCCCTACACATGGTCATACTTTGACACGATCGTAATCATGGCATACAGACCATTTTGCATGGGACTTTTTTTTAGTTAACTCATTGTCATTGGCCTTTCCCCATGTTCCCATCTTTATAATTAGCATTTTCAACTACTGCAAGAGATTCCTTGTGAAATGGGCCATGATTTGCTTAGCTATTATTTGGTGCTTTCCACTCTTTCACTGTCATAAATAACGCTGCCCTACAGCCTTCTCCAAAGAGCTCTTGACTTCTGCTGAATCCAAAAGATAAATTCCTGGGGGCCAGAGGTTTTGTGTTGAGAGGCAGTGTAGTAGGAAGACCATGGAGCTGTGGGTCACACAGGACTGGGCTGGAATTCTGGCTCCATTTCCCTGTGGGGCCTGTTCCTCAATCCAGTGTTTTCAACTGTGGATCAAGATTTATTAGTGGATCAATCAACTGTCTCATTCAGCATAAAATAAAAAAAAGAAAGACAAATAGAAGAGACTACATTACCTATGGAATGGTTTTATTAAACATCTCCTTAAATGTATGCATGTGTGTACTGGGTTGTGATGTAAAACGTATTTTTTTTTTTTACTCCGGGTTTCAGGCAAAATGCCCTTTTTTTAAAAAGATTTTATTTATTCATTTGAGAGAGAGAATGGGAGAGAGAGCACGAGAGGGGGAAGGGTCAGAGGGAGAAGCAGACTCCCCGCCGAGCAGGGAGCCCGATGCGGGACTCGATCCCGGGACCCCAGGATCATGACCCGAGCCGAAGGCAGTCGCCCAACCAACTGAGCCACCCAGGCGCCCCAGGCAAAATGCCCTTTTAAACCTTTCTGGGTCCCCTTTCCCCCACGTATAAAACGGGACAGCAATCTGAGCTTCGTATTATGAACACGTGTTGGCACATCATCCATCCACCTTCATCTCCAACGCCACCACCCTAGCCCCAGACATATTTCTTGCTGGGCAGCCTGACTGCAATGGCTCCCTAAGCAGGTACCCTTTCTCCACCCTGCCCCACTACAATTCATTCTGAACCCAGGAAGAGTAATCGTCTTAAGACCTAATTCAGATCGTGTCACTCCTCCGCGTAAATTCTTGCAATGGCTTCCCATTCCCTTATAAACCTCCACCCTGCTCTCCTACCTCCTCTCTCTCACCCACCCTCTGGCTCCAGTCAAGCCCCGAGGCAGAGCCTTTGCACTCGCTGTTCCTTCTGGAACACCCTTCCTGCGCATCTTCCCGGGCCCGTCTCCCAGCCATGGTCCAGGTCTCAGCTCAAAGATCGTTTCCTTAGGGGTGCCCTCCGAAACTGCCCATCTCCGGGCAGGTTTTGGTCAATTACCCTTTTTTATTTCCCTTCTCAGCTCCTACTGCTCTCTGGAACGGTCTTGGCTCATTTCTCCGGGCCTGTTCACTGTCTCCCCGACAGAGCTGTGGGCCCAAGAAGGCAAAGAAACGTCCAGCTCGGTCCCGCCGCAGCCAAGAACGCCGGGCGACTCTCGCATTTCGGTGCTTCCCCGCGAGGGTCTCTAACCCGCCAGGACCCCACCGCCTCGCTGCGCCGGCGCGCTGGCGTGCCGGCGCCCGAGTTTACCTTCCGGGTCGGGGGGCAGGTCCGCGGCGGCGGCGCTCCACTTCCGGGGCGG